GTTAAACCATTGTTTTGGTTGCAAGAAAAGTCATTTTTATTTTTTTTATTTTTAAGTCAGAAAAAGTTGATTTATCTTTTTATTCCATATAATCTACTGTAGCTTAGAAACACGAAACAACCTTAATGGAAGCAAAGAGGACAAAGTTTGGTCCTTCAAAATTTGAAGCCACACGTTTCATCCAGTGCTGCTAAATAGGATTTATGTCAGTCGGCTGCTGTTGGTGTTTAGAGGTTCTGGTTGTTCCAGCTCTATAGCAGCCTGGCTTCTGTCATTCTGCCCAAAGCAGCTGTGGCTACAGTGTAGATTACCACAACCAGCGTGTGAATTACTGAATGTAGTGCTAAGAGCTTTGGGATCCCTGGACTTGATAAGGTGCTGTGAAAGTACAGACCATTTACCATTTAGTAATGACATGCTATATGCTTTAGAATTATTGATAATAGTAAATAAAAGATAAAGTCATTAAAATGTGTTCAATGTAAAATGATTTTAAGGCATTTTTGATATTCAGACCCACAATGAACTGATCAATAGATAATTTTCTTTTTCTTTTTTCTCTTTTTTAACTTGTTGAGAGAAAACATCTATTTTTAAAAGGCTATTCAGTTCTTTCCATTCATTTCATTTATATAGCGCCATTTCACAGCACATTTTATCTGAAGGCACTTTACAGAGACAACTCAATCAGATCATATAGTTAGACTGATAAAAAAAGGTTGTTTTTTATCTAATAAAAAGAAGCTGATAGCATCGAGTCATTGACTTTGCAGGATTTGCTCCTCCTGGGTGAACATGTGGGGATGGTAGACTTTCACTTGCATTGTGTGATTGATTTTGTAGCAATTCCTCACACTGAGCATGCATGCAGCAACAGTGGAGAGAAATAAAACAGAAAGAAGCTTCCAGCAGAACCAGGCTCTTTGTGAGCAGCAAAAGGAACATAGAATAACTGATCCAAAATTACTTTGTATGTTAGAAAAGGTCAGTGGAAACTGGCTCCATTAGTGTCTCTGTTTAGGAAAGATACAGTTCAGCACATGAGGTCTGAGTGGATCCTCATGTAAAAGGGCTGAAAGAGAGAACATATAGTTCGTCACAGATAAATCTGATGAATAATTTTCGAAACAAGTGCCAAAAAAAAGAAACGCCGGTTTCATGTTTCCAGCCACATCTTTTTGTCTAACAATAAAGCTGTAGCTCAACATCTGTAACCAATGTGTGCATACCCAGTGTTTTTCTCAGTAGTTTGGGTGTGTTCTGTGTCAGCGCCACCAAATGGCCCAGCATATGTACTACAGCGTCTTCATTGGTGCTGTGTACACTTATGAGGGCGTAACAATTTCTAAGCAATTCATTAAAAATATAATGTTTGTCTTTGTGTGGAAAATGCCTATAAGCTCATTTGCACCGTTCTGTACGACAACTTTAAGAATCTCAGTTTAAATTAAAAAACAAAAACAAAATGAAAATAACATCAACACTTTGATACGTGTAGAAAAATCTATAAGCCTGATAAGACGACATGGAATGGTTAAACTGGAAATAATACATTTCTATTTTTCGTAACGAAAGACAAAGACCTGTATGGTCTTAAATTGACGACAATAGATTTATTTTATTTTTTTTTTTTACAATATCCTTGTAAATGTTTTATTTTTTAAGTTTCCATTTTAATCTTAAAAAAAATTCTATACTTTTATTCAATTCTACTGAATTCTTACAGAGTTTATACATTAAGCAACATATTTCTGGGCCCGCTTATAAAAATGGTCAAACATTGGATGTCTTTTGCTAATTTGAATTCTGGTTTTAAACATACACTCAGTGCACAATTGTTAGGCAAGTTGAACTTTGACTTTTTTTTTTTTTTTTTTAAGCTACAGTGCTCCAGGTCAAACCAAAATGTTGATAAACCTCAAACCTGAATATTTAATTGCGTTAGATTTTGGCTTTCTAAGGAGAATATTTATGTTTGCAAAATTATTCAAGACTGTTAGTGAGCAGAATTATTATTTAACTAAATGAAAGTTAAATTTACCATCTCATTTGTTTATAAACAAACTACTCAAACATAATTTCTTACATAAAACAAAAGAACAATAACAATCAGTGACCAGGATGGCAACCCAGTTTATCAATGGTGGTGTAGGTCAGGTGAGGAATGGGGGCCACATCATTATTCTTTCATCTTTAAAGCCTTTACAGGCCAGCCACACAGTGGAGAACTTGGATGCATGCGATGAAGCATTGCCCTGCATTAAAATCCTGGTCATCTTAAAAGATGCAGACTTTTTCTGAACCACTGCTTCAATAAAGTATCATCCGAAAACTGACAACCCTGTAAAGAAAGCAATTTTGTCGGGATATAAACTTATCAGCTTCATTTTGTTCGTGACAAGGGCTTAAAAAAGAGAGAGCAAACAGACACCAATAACAATTCTTAATAGACAGAGCTTTGGTAGTGTGCAACAGATTTTTGTTGATCTTTGAATGCTGTGTTTTATCTCGATATGGCTGGAGCCAGTGATGACATGTTGTTTGATTTTTTTGTATGTTTGGATTGCATGGATTATTATCAACATCTGGTGAAAATGACAATAGAGCCTCTAGAAATATATTTACTGGGGAAAATGGTGTCTTGCTCAACAGTTATTTCACCTACTGTATAGGTTGTTGATCTCATTAGGCCCCACCCTCTTTACACAAACACATATCAGCTGATTTGCTTATATGCAGAAAGTGTTCAAGTTTATACAGCTTGGAGTTGAAAAACATGCATAAACATTATATGATCAAAAATACAACTTGTCTAATAATTGTCCCCACAGTGTAAATGGTTTATGTGTGGAGGATGTTCATGTGAGTGATCACTTTTATTTCACCTGGATCATTTACCTTCCAAACCACTGATTCAAAGCTGAGTCATGAACCAAGCTGCTGCTGAAAGGTTCTCAGACATCATTGATGCCAATGTGACTCATAGTGATGTTATGATTTAATGTTTTAAAAAACAACAAATATTAATTTTAAACACAGTGGCCTCTTTCAAGCAAAATATTGTCCACCACTCAACTTACTGTCCTTGAATGAAGTTTTTGTTACTTTGTTCATTGAAATCTTCCAAACTAGAGGTTTATTGGCTTCACCTGAAACAGTCAATTTTCTGATTAAATGACACGTTGGAAGATGCCAGAACTAACTATGTTTTATATTTTATGTCTAAAATATAGTAAAATCTCTAAATTTTCTTTAAGTCCATCAGAAATATTGTTTTACTTTGTTTCCCTCATGCTCTAGTCTGTGAGCAAAGTGGCTGTGATTAGATTTAGTATTTCCCATAATTTTCTCCAAGTTATGTTTTTAATTTGCGTCCAACTTATACTCAGTGTCCCTTTGCTCCTGTTACCTTACCTCACAGCTTTACTCCGTCGTATTAAACCACCATCCAGTCCTCTTGATTCTCTCCCTGCTCCTTTTTTAATCAAGATTTTGAATATATTGGACCCTGTGTTCTAGAATTAATTAACCTTCATCTTGATTCTGGTTCAATTTGCAGCTTCTTTAAAAATATGTTGTTGAACCAATATTAAGGGAACCTCAATCTGATCCATCTCTTCCTAATAGCTTCAGACAAAATCCAAATGAACTTTTATAACAAATATTTTGGAGAAAGCAAATCTGATGTATATTTTCCAGTCTGGCTTTCTCAAAATGCTCTCTACAGGAACCGCCTTATTTAAATTCTGTGGTGACATTTCAATTGCAGCAAATTCTGGAGTTTTCTGCAGAATCTTTCCTTCAACTTTCCTGCTGTTGATCACAGTATCCTGATCAACAGGCTTCAGGAATGGGTGAAAATAAAGGAACAAGTTTACAATGGTTCACATCCTACCTATCATTTACTGTCTGTCTAAATCTGGGAATGTCTGATTCAGCTGATCTGTACTGTGGGGTACCTCAGGGTTCTGTTTTTGGATCCAAAATATCCTTACAGATATCAAACAAGGCTACATGTTGACTTTCTTCATTCAAACAATGAGAAAACTGAAATGTTGATAACAGCTCCAGACCAGATGATCCCAGGTATCAGAAAACAGATCGGCTTCACTGATGAATCAAGTTTAAGAACTTTGGGTTTCCTCTCTGAAAGTCTGTTGTTGTTTAAAAATTACTCCAAACATCTGGTTTAGAACAGTTTTTATAACTTTATGAACATCTGAAAACTCTGACTCTTCATTTCTAAAGCTGGACTTGAGATTATTTTAACTCTGCTCATTTAGTTTATTTCAAAATTAAATTTTCCAGATTTAATAAATCAGCTTTGGACTGTCTTCAGATCCTGTAAAATGCTGCAACAAGACCTTAAACTGGCACCAATATTAAGATCTCACTCTTTCTCCGGTCTTTGCTTCTCGTTGTTGGGTTCCAGTAAGTTTTAGAATTTGTTTTAAGGTTTCAGTTTATCCCTTTTATGGCCCTACATGGTCAAGCTTTCTCTATATATTGCTGATCTGCTGAAACTTCCTTTTCCTTCATGTTTGCATGAAGGTCAACCTTCAAACTTTGCCGGTGTAGGTACCAGATCTGATCGGGGCCCGGCCCCTTCTTATGACGTCCAAATATGGCAACTCCACTCGGACAAACTGTATTGCACCCTCTTATGCATAAAATCTCTTTTGGAGTCTCAACAGATTATTACCTATATTTGCTATTATTTTACATTTCATTGGTGATCTAACGTAGCCAACTGTAGAAAACAATCATTGTCAGTCTTGAAGGAAAGTACTGCGTTGTAAGACTGAGCTTTGCCATTTTTTTAAAATTGTTTCCTTTACATGTCCTGTGTCTATTTATTCAACATTTGGCACAGATCATAGAGATTCTGTGTTGAAGACAAGATGCTGTTGATTCTGATGGAAAATCCACCATGATGTTAAAAATGTTTTCCTCTGAAATCAGAACCAAAATAAAAAGCAGCTTCTTTGCTCCATCTCTAAATCCACAGGTTTCCCAGACTGGTCTCCTCTGAGCTTCATCATGTTGACTCTGAGGATCACAGCACTGATCCTGATGGTTGGAATCACTGCTGATATCATCAGAACCAGAGGTGAGCAAACTGGACCAGAATGGAGCACATCTACAGATTTTTGCTGTTAATCATTTTATTTTTATTTCCTTCCCAGGAAGCAAAAAGCCACAGAAAGGCATTAATGTAAGAGAATGCTTTGAAATTTCTCTCTAAATGTTCAGTTTGTTTCTATAACTTCATTATAAAGGTTAATGTTTGGTTTTATCTCACAGGTTCATGATGCTGTTGATGAGGATGCAGTAGATTATGAAAATGATGGAGAATGTTCTGCTGCTGCCACAATCAGCCGACCTTCATCTCATCAATACAGTTTATACTAAAGCAACGCTTTATTATATTTTGCTTCACTTTGCATGCTTAACTATTTACTTTTTTATTTCCCAATATATGTGCAAAAGTTTTCTCTAAACTTCCGTTATAATCTATAATAAAATTACTCCCAGAATCTCTGGATTTGTTCTCAGATTAAAACCTGGTGGCAGACAGACAGAAACTGATTAATGTGTCATTATTTCAATCGCATCATATAGATGCTGAGGAGAAGGTAAATCTAATGTAAAACATAAATGCAGACCTGCTCCGCATGAAAATAAGAAATCATCCTATGATCAGTCAGAATCACATCAAATGATCACAAAAGTGGTCAAAAACTCTGTAGTAGTTTTGTAGCAGCCTAAAAGGAATAGAAACGTTAAACTGCATTTTTACTTTAATTTTCTCGTGTCATTCTTTTCCTCTCAGTCGCTAAACTTATCTGAATTAAAGTTAATTTCAAATTGACTCTTAGTTCATTTACTGTTTTTTTCTTTACTTATTGTTATAAAAATGTTATTTAAATTCCTATTCCAAAAGAATCCTCATTCACATTTCCCTTTAAATGTATACATAATATGTTTACATTATTTATTGGCTGCATCAAAAAAATATCAAATATATTTTCAATTTAAACATAGATATGAAATAATACGATGTAACCTACAATAACTTCAATGATATAATGCTCTCGGTCATGAAATTAATTCAGTTTAGTCTGTCCAATAAGCTGCCTGTAGTGTCTTTAAATGTCCAGCAGGTGTCAGTATTCTGTGAGAAACTTTTACCGCAGCATCAATCCAGTTTAACAACGAAACGCTTCAAGATGCCTCATTAACCCATCACTACTTCTAACTCCCCTCAACTCGAGTACTTGGTATGATCCGTTCACAAACTGACACTCAAACCAACAAT